GACAAGACATGACCTGATTTTTTTCCACTGTAGGAGTTTTTTTTTTTTCTTTTACATTGGGAGAGAGGGAGAGGAAAACCATAACTGGCAACGTATTGCCAACTGTACATAAATTTATTTTACAAGCATTGCTAATGAGATCATTTATCGATCCTAAGGTTATTACATAAATGTCCTAGTTCAGGCCTTGCATCCATCCATGATGCGAATTTTATCTCAGCTGCAGAAGTGCAGTAGAGGTAAGACCTAAATGTGATAAGGAAAAAGTACCGCCTGCAGATGGAAAAAGGAGATGGTTAGATATAACAGAAAAATGAATTATAATTGTGAAGTTAAAAATTAATGCTTGCTGAACATATCCCTTGTAAAAAAAAAAAATTGTTTGTGCAATCAATGCAGTACAAATGCATGTTTTATTTATGTATTTCAAGGAGTGGGTTTCAACCATCTGATGTAGTCGAGAGTCAATACAACACAAGCAAATATAGACACACACACAGAGCTTTCATTATGACGCACCAATACGTGCAGTAAATCCATCTACTTTTTCATTTATATAACGCACATAGTTTTTCCCTTTTTTTTTCTCAACATATCAAATATATGCACGATTCAGAGAAGAACAGTTTCCATAATTAAATGAACTGGAGGGAAAACAAAAAACGAGAAGGAAGCTAACTCCACTATTGCACCAAAGCAACACAACACCAGGTCACATGCTACAGAGTCTAACCACCGACCAAAGAAAGAAAGGCTTTATACTGTTCATTCCTAACATAAAATTAGGAGATCAAAAAAGAGTTTTTCTCCTCTAGTGATATATGGAATATTAGAGAATAACTAGCCACATCCTACTGTTGGAATTGGTTTAAGTAAGATGAGAGCATATACAGGCACACGGTAACAATGTTTATCCAATACTTCGAAGTGAATGAAACTGCAATTCAAATGGTTTGACAAAGGCTAAACCCTATTTATCTAAAGGTGGAAGACATGAAAGCAAACATACACTCATAAATAAATAAATAAATAAATAAAGACAGAGACTTCAACGGTTCAACCTACCACAGCTTTTACAAAATCATATGGACACAGCCTCTAAATTGGAAACCTACAGACATGTACATGATAATCCTATGTGGCATGGACACGAGCGAACACAATAATGAAGAGACGGAGCTTGAACTAAGGAGCAGCTTCAGAGTTAGACAGAGGTAACAGTCCAATGAGAGGTATGTACGTTCCAAAGAGGACAATTCTTCTTGTGAGGGACATTGGATTTGGGGAAAAGTGGGATTGTAGTTGCTGCTGTGGTTCATTTTCATTTGGATAATTGATTGAGGTGACTAAGGATGACTTGGTTTTGCTAAAAATCAGTCGTCTAGTGGTGGTTGCAGAATAGGTGCTGGCACAGCTACAACCAAGGATTAAAGTGTTGATACCGGTAATGGGTTCAGAAACTTCGGTGGGTTAAGAAACTTCAGTGGATTAAAATGTCGATACCAGTAATGGATTAAAATGTCCATACCGGTGATGTCGATTCCGTTCTTCCTCTTCTTCTTTTTCAATTGTTTTACACAGCAATGGGTTCAGAAACTTCGGTGGGTTTACACTGAAATCCACCGAAATTTCAGTCAAAATCAACTGAAATTCACAGATATTGTGGTGACATGCTGATGTTTTGTCAACAATACTGAAACTTCCAAGCTTTCTATGAAGTTAAGGGCAACACGGGTGAAATTTCGGCAATTCCACCAATATTTAAAACCTTGGCTACAACAGAGGTAACACCTGCAAGCCTTCAGGCCAGTCTTTAGCTTCGTCTCACATCCTGGCAGCTTTGCCACCAGACGTGGTGGGCATGAAAGGGCCTGGATAAGGATAGAGATGTGATATTGATGATGCTCATTTTCTTTTCATTGAACATTGTCATCTAATAGTGGATTTGGGCTTTGAATTTTGAATTTTGAGCATGATTTGGTTCCGGTTTGGCTGGTGTTTTGGAGCTCAAAAACAAAGGAGCTGTAACTGCTCTGGAGTATGGGGATTTTCTATGTTAACCTCTGCTTCTTCATCACCAAAGAAAAATTGAAGATGATCTTCTGTAAAAGGTTAAACGAAAAAGACTCTCCACATCATTCAACTTAACCAAACAGGAGTAATCTGGGTTAATGAGCCTGGACTTATTAGTAGTTTGCTGAAGTAGAGATGTCTATGTAATTACATGAAGTAGCAAGCAGGCTAAAGTATTTTACTCAGAAAGTAGTTGACTGTGAGCCTGTGAACCATCTAAGAAAATTTCCTCAATATACAACAATTTGAACTCATGCATTGATGATATCTAATAGAGGTCAGCTAACAAATTAGGCCCCGCTAAGCAAATAAAATAGAGTTAACACAAGAAACTTAGGAAGTGCTTTAAGAGTTAAATTGTTGACGAACATAAAAACTACCTTAATGCTTTGATACCCATGTCCATGAGGTATGCTTGATGCTCATCATCATCATCATGGAACTTCTCGAGTTCCTTACTATAATAAAGAATATCGTCTCGTAGATGCCCCGCCCCTGCACACCTTTTAATTGAAGACCAAAGTGAGAAACATCAACAATAAGAGCTAATTACTACTACCACCTGAAGTTATGTTTAAAGACGATCAACTCCCCACAAAATGTAAAACAAGCAAAAACGGTGCAGTTACACAATTACTCAAATAAAACGCAATTCATCAAGCACGGATGTATTCTTTCTCCTTAAGTCCACATGAGGAACACACAAAATTACACGGCCAACAGCACAATTTAATGCTTCTATGCTACTGTTGGCCAGACCTGCTTTTACATTTTAATACATTACCTGATGCTTAGACAAGTATGCAGTACCATAAGGAGATAAGTTCGACATGGACTTTCTAAGATATAAAATACCTTTCAATAACTATGTCAACATCTGCTTTGCTCTTGGGACCGTACACAAGAACTCTCGTAAGGCTTAGTATGTCTCGGTAGTCACCCATCCTACGAACTTCTTCATCAGAAGCTCGAGAAGGCAAGTCCTCTTCAGTTGTATACGATGGATTCGTTCTAAACAGTAGTTGTGGGTCCTTTGATACAAAGTTAGCTTCTGCACCAAATCTAATACAAATAATAGCCATTGCATAAGCAACTCCTCCAAACCCCGTGTGTGATACAAAAAGGTAACACCCTGCAGAGCTATAGGCAAAAAGTTAATTCTATTGAATTACATAATTTACTACATTAGAAATAAATTAAAAAATTGAACGCCAAAGCAAGGCTCACAGAAACCAGCTTCTTACAAAACTCATAAACTACAATAGTGCTCTGATATCAAAATACGCCAACATAATACCAAAGAACGTCAATAGTAAAAAATAAATAAAAATTGCAAGTATATTCAGATGACAGAAATGGTCTATCACTATATGACCTTTGACTGTTCTTATTATTATTATTTTTAAACTAAAAAAAAAACCTCCCTTATCCTCGTTTGTGGTATCATGTTGAGGAACAGGCCCTTAAGCATGCAACTTTGTTTTCTCAATGAAGGGCAATATAATTTTCCCAGTGCAATTTGGTTTACTGAAACAAATAATGGTGAATCAAGAGTACTTTTCTTAACAGCGGCAAATGAGTTTAGTTTGCATTAATAATTTTTATATCTCAAATTTTCATTGTTTAGTATAAGTTTTCTTAGTTTAGACAAATTTTTCATTTCGTGGTATTGCTATTTACTGATGGGATGCATACCAGTTACGGATACTTACTCATCTATACGGTATTGAATTGCATCCACATCAGAAGCTAAAGCCTCTCTTTCTCTAGTTAATGGTATTCTTCTGTATGTAATATTATAACCCTCATCTTTCAGGGCAGCATAAACTTCAGCTGGTGTCTTCACATCATCTGCAAAGATATTTTCCAAGTATCCAATGACACTGGACTGATTCAATGCTGGGCTATATTCTTCACGATGTAAAAGCATACGGCCACCAGACCGTCTGACCTCAGATAGTATATCTTCTTTTAGTCGTGCTTCCATGTGTTCCACCTGCATATGATTGCAAGAATTTTAATTTTGAGATCATATTTAGCCTAATGACTTATATTAAAAATAAAAAATAAAAAACATACCACTGGGCCTGTGATTCCCACATGCTTGAGTGTATCAACAGGTTTGTTTAGCTCCCGTAAGACAAATGGTGTGCTATTAATGTAAACAACTGCTTCTTCTCTCAGATCAGTTAAAATCACTTTCTGAGCAGCAGATCCTTCTGCTTTGGGCTTGGCACCTAAATATGCTAGCATCTCTTTGGCACCAGGAATTGTTGGCGTAGCCATGCTGTACACAGGATATCCATCCACCTGGTTCAAATAAAAATTTTAGGGTTAAAAGTGGCAAATTCTCTTTGCACTGTAAAAGTTACCTTCTCAGTATAGCCACACTAAGGCTGTTACATAAAAAAAATATTTATTTATATTATTTTTTAAAATGTGGGCCTGCTTATAATAAAAAACAGCTTGATTCAGACAATAACTCCCAGTGCCAGAGACAGCCTTTTAACAGATCTTCAGGCATAGACTGTAGCCTTTACGGAAAAACCATTGTGCATTATTTAGTGCTTGCGTGGTAGTACTCTTGGCTGCACCCAACACTTTGCATCAGATACATTTACATAATTAAGCATGCTTTTATCTTATATTTATGATCTTCCATATTATAGCGTCTCATTCATATCCATGTATCTCCTAGTTCATGCATGCATTCAGCTAGGATTCATATATCATCCAAGAGTGACATTTATGTAGCATTTATGCATTCATGTATCAACTAGCTATATAAGGGCGACTTCTTCTACCCTTAGTCAATCATTCTAAATTTCGATTATAATCTATCCCAAAGATCTTTCTTTGAGAGTGTTATTTCTCCTTGTGGATTTAAGGCATTTTCCTGGTAGAAAACGAAGATTTTCTTCTAGTTTTCGCTTCTGTTCTGCATCAGGTAATTCCTAGACCTTTCCAGAAAGACCCCTTAAACTTCCCATACATCATTAGCAACAACTAGCCCCGATATAACATTAATAACAGCTAGACAGACCCTATATACTCCCGGTGGGGTATTAATAACCAAAAGACAGGCTCCGCATACATAATTAATAACAATGGCACTTGAACATAATTACTACTTAGTACTTAGTAAAGTTGTCCAGGCATCTCTCAATAGATATAGTAATATGTATTTACTTCATCAATCCCTACCCCTTGGAAGAAATTAGTCTTCGAGTCAAGTGCTGACGTCCAATCTCATCTTTTGTGCCATCATTGTATGGATACAAATCTGAGACGATGAATATGTGATCAATTCCCAAACGCCAACGTAAATCAACTCTAAATGCATTTTCTCCATTTTTCTTGATGATGTGGTTCTGTCCATATTTTTGCTAAATTCATAATAAGAGCCAACAGGAAATCGCCCCCTCCTTAACTAAACCATTCGCTTTTTCAGAAACTCTGGACACTCCTTTTCTTATCTGCATAGGCCTTGTATTTGGCATTTGAATCTTCAATCTTCAGCCAGCTTTGACCCAAATCGAAGCAATGATTCGGTTGCCTCCCATATACATTTTCAAAGGGGCTTTTGCCGGTAGTTCAATTCTAGAATAATTATATGCAAATTCAGCTTGTCAAACGTCTTCCCATTGTTTTGGGTTCTGTGCTGGTACTGATTTCAATTCCTATTTTCCTTCCTTTACGAGCAACACAGAAGCAGCCCCATTATGTTCAAGTTCAGTTAAAACTGTCAAGATGTCAAGCAAGGATGTACTTCGTTCTTCTTGGACTCAGGAAAGTCATCTTCCTTCATCGGAGCTAGGACCACCTTAACTTCATTCTTAAAAAAGGCATAAATATTCTTTTCACGATGGTGAACAGTCTTATTATCAAATTTCCATGGCCTCCCTAATTCTTCCATGTCCACCACATCACATAAAACTTTGTGTGATTAAATATTTCCAATGGAAAAGGGAACAAGAAATTGTTGTGTCATCTTAACCTCTCCTCCCTTTTTGAACAAAGCTATATGGTAAGGTCTTGGATGTTGCTGAACCTAAAGATTCAGTTTTGTCACCATTTCTCTAGATACCAGATTTTAGCTACTTCCTCCATCACTGATAACAGTACAAAACCTCCCATTAGAGGAGCCTAGATTTCCAAAGGGAAATCAAGTAAAGCCTTTAGGAACTTTAAGAAACTGATAATCTTTCAGGTAAAATATTTCTAGGCTAACTTTTTTTCTCACCACTGGACTAGACCCTTTTATAATACGAAAAAGACCACCCCCTGACTCGCTTCACCTCAATATAAATATTCAAACATATATGTTAGTGCAAAATCAACCAACTGCATCAAAGAGAAAGCAGCTGTCCTCCAGACAACTCTATCGCCAAATGAAGTAATCCTGTTAAATGCATTTTATACAGTTGATTTGCAGCCTTATCCAATTGCATGGCAGACTCACTTACCCCTACTTAATCAAGCGGGAAGAAATGCAAGCATACCTTATAAACATGTGGTGCACCATGAATTTGTATGTGGCTAGAAGTCCTCTGACCTGGAAAGAAATACATTTTAAGTATAGATCCTTTCCCCAAAACAGAACCGCTTCGGGCCTTGACAATGGCCTCCATGACAGCATCTCCATGTTGAGACTCATGCGGTGCTCTCAACTCCTCCTGAGTTCCAAAACCAAAATGTGAAAGCAATTATATAATCCATCCCAAAACAAGAAGGAAATGTTTACTAAGCTCTTAGAGTCTCTAAATTGCCCAGCCAAAAGGAAAAATAAAGGGAAATAGAAAAAGAAAAATCTCTAAGTCAACAAGTAGAAGGGATTTACAGGGACAGTAAAAAATCGTCCAGGCCTTAATCTTATGCTCCATTTCATTGCTTGAACTTCTGGTCTCTGATGCAACCAATTCTTAAATGTCATCCTAGATTCTCCTTGCCCACAAAATCCATCAAATGCTTCACTTCCTAAGTATGCTGCAAAAGCAATTAAACGGAAGTAGCGCTCCAAGTACTCAGCGCCACGATTCAATGCCACCCTCCTTACCCTTGGCTCAACATGTTGTTGATTGAATACCTTTCTATATTGCAGAACGGCTTGGCGTATGTTCTGTAGAGCAGAACATCTATCAATTATAGCATCTAAGGCTTCTCGGCATTCCACCCCATTATCAAATAATCTTGTTATTTTCCACAACAAGAGGATGTCATTCATGCCAAATACACGGCCTTGATCCTTTTCATTTCTTACAGCTGTAACACTGGAGGTTGATGCAGCACTATTACCTCCTGATTCTTCACCACTTGAGCTACCACCATCCACCTCTTCAAGGGTAATATTGTCAACCAGGATTTTGATAGGTCTCCCATGGTCAATTCGAAGTTTCAAAAGGCAAGCAATTACAGTACCTGTGGTTGTCCTTCCTCTGCCCATCTGTGAATATTAAGAGAAAACAAAAAAGAACAGAGGAAGTTCAGGGGAAAGAAACGAATACAAGGGAAAAGAAAAATACATTAGATTTATCCAGAGAAATCATTGTCTGTATACAGAAAAAAAGGAAGGAAAATAATTAAATGTCAACCTGGCAATTGAAAACAAAAGCAGTGTCCTTGGATGCAGAAGCAATATTAATAGCCAACGTGTCGAAGTCAGAACTTTTGGGAGCTTTACCATCAGTGATGGGCACACGCGCATACTTTATGGGAAAACCATCTGTCTCCAAACCTTTAAAAACCTCAAGTGGGGTCTGAATGGCCTCAGAATTTACATGTTCCCAAGCATCAAATATTTGCCCATCATCTGTTTCATGAATAACCATTATAGCACCCCCATAGTGCTCAGCTTCTCGCAGTATATCTTCTTTCAGTCGAGCTTCCATCCTCTCCACTCTCTCACGATCGATACCCTGAAAGAAGAAATCGTGGTTTCATATTTTTCTTTTGGACAGGAAACATATATACTTTTGTTTCTCAAAAGTGAAAGATCATGGTTTCATTATAACCTAGTCCACTACCAACAGAAAAAGAAAATCCAAGCCAAATGTATGAACCATGACAGTTGTAATCATGTCTTGGACTGTATCCTTGTAGGATCCTAGATGCCATGCCATGCCATGCCATGCCATGCCATGTTCATGCTATGAGACCTTTCTGCTTGAAACTCCAAAAGTGCCTCAATTGAGGTATGTATTCTGTTTGGGTTATGAGAAAGGGACAAAATCCTTTTCCATTGCAGTAGAAACTCTCAGTATCCACAGTGCCAGCTGTAAAGATATTTGTCTTGACACGCTTCAACAAAATTAAATTTATGGACATCAAGCTGCACTGGTGCCATACACACTGAACATTGAGTGACAAGTTTTGTCATAAGTTCTCTCTATTTCTAATAGAAAGTATGACTTAAAGATTAGATGGACGGAACAAATGCTTTTTATCTAGAGGTGGGAGGTTTACTTCTGTTAAATAACTTGCTGCTGTATCTTGTTCTTTAATGTAACCAACGGCAATAGACTAAACTAGCAAATATTAGAAAACTTAGACACACAAGAATTATACTGGTTCGGCAGAACTTTTGCCTACGTCCAGTTGTGATTTCTCTAGGTAGAGAAATCACCGCTCCTTTGATTAATAATAGAGATTACAGAACTTTTGCAAACCCTAGAACTAATCTCAAAACTCTTGGCTATCTCTGGCTGTTTTCTCTCTCTCAAAATAAGCCTTGCCACACCCTATTTATAGATATAGAGTTGGCTTACATGTCCTAAGGCTGATTGAATTCATATTCCTAAGTGGATTAGGAAATTACACTTATCCAAAACCAAATAGGCTTCTAGAAATCCAAACCTGAATTGAATAAGGAAAACTGAAATTCTTTCCTAATCCCTCTAGGACAAGAATACCTCTAATTTTCCTAAAGCAATCCTAAACCAACTAGGACATATTTGACGAGCCAAAATCCTAACAATCTCCACCTTGGTGAGTCAAACCAAGTCTTGATCGTTGCACCCCAGAGTATCTTTGAACCTCCTTGAAGCAGCTCTGGAAATCTTCAAGAGTTTTCACCTTGGCAATCTTCTTCTTGCCTCATTGCACCTCAAGTGAGGAGGTGCTCCACTTTAATCAATCAACGAGATTGATCAAGTTCAAGCAAGTTCAAGCAATGCTTGAAGCTTGAACTTCTTGACCGGCACTATCTTTGTAAGGAAATCTGCGGCATTGTCATCCGTATGAACCTTTTCAATCCAAATCTCCTTAGACTCCACCCAATTTCTGATTCTGTGATATCTTGCTTCAATGTGCTTTGATCTTCCAGAAAATACTTGATTCTTTGCCAAGTAAATGGCACTTTGACTATCACACTTCAGCTTCACACAATCTTGGGTGATTCCCATTTGACTTACCAAGCCATTAAGCCAAATTGCTTCCTTTCCAGCTTCGGCCAATGCAATATACTCTGCCTCTGTGGTCGACAAAGCTGTAATTGGTTGCATTAGTGCCCTCCAATTGATTGGTCCTCCTGCTTATGTAAACACATAACCAGAAGTTGACCTTCTCTTGTCCAAGTCCCCTGCATAATCGGCATCTACATATCCCAACACCCCCGCATTTTCTTTTTGCTTCTCAAACATAATCCTTCGTCGCCAAGAACCCTTCAAATAACGCAAAATCCACTTGACTGCATCCCAATGTTGCTTTCCTGGATTTGCCATGTATCTGGAAACAACACTGATTGCTTGAGCTATGTCGGGACGTGCACATACCATTGCATGCATAAGGCAGCCCATTGCATTAGCATAAGGCACTTTCTCCATTACTTGCTGCTCTTCCTCAGACTTAGGACACTATTACCCACTTAACTTGAAGGGAGCTGCCAAAGGAGTCGAAACTACCTTTGCTTCTTGCATGTTGAACTTCTCAAGAACCTTCTGAATATACTTGGCTTGTGATATCCAGATCCTTCCAGCAGTCCTATCTCTCTGAATTTCCATGCCAAGGATCTTCTGTGCTGCACCTAGATCCTTTATGTCGAACTCCTTGCTCAACATCTTCTTTAAGGCTTGAATTCTAGATTTGTCTTGACAAGCGATTAGCATGTCATCCACATATAGCAATAGCAATATGATCATCCCATCTTGGAACACATGATAGTACACACAACAGTCATATAAACATCTTCTAAAATTGATTTTCAGCATGAAGTAATCGAACCTCTTGTACCACTGTCTTGGAGACTGTTTCAGGCCATACAGGGACTTCCTTAGCTGACATACTAGGTTCTCTTTCCCATATTCAACAAATCCTTCTGGTTGAGCCATGAAAATTGTCTCCTCTAGATCCCCATGAAGAAAGTAGTTGGATCTCCTTGACTAATGTTGAGAGCGTAATCAACTTCATCTTGGTCAAACCCAAACCTGTCAGGTTTCTTCTTGTTCCGATTAGGTTTGTCCAGTGCTATGCATCTTTGGAATGCAGGTGATTGTTGGTTGGAGTTCGAACCCTTTGGGATGTCTGGCGGATTAGAGTGCCTTCAAACTGCCCTGTTTCTTGCTCCACCTGATTCCTAACTGGTGAACGATGCTGATGCTCTTCTTCCTCAGCGCTGTCTTCACATCCATCTTGCTCAATTTGCTCCACCTGAGCTTCTTCATCTGAACTGATTAACGGAATCTTTGTTGCTTCAATTTCAGCATCATCTTTCTTCTCCCTACTGCTCTCGACTTTATTTAGAGGCATGGTTGTCTCATCAAAGACAACGTCTCGGCTGACAACCTTTTTCCTATTGTTGATATCTCAAAGCTTGAAGCCCTTCACTCCTTTCTCAAAACCTAAGAATATGCAATGTGTAGACTTTGGTTTGAGCTTGGACCTTTCATCACTTGGATATGTGCGTAAGCACTACAGCCGAACACCCTGAGCTTGGAATAGTCTACCGGCTTCTCAGACCATACCTCTTCTGCACTTAAAACCGAGAACTGTAGATGGTGATCTGTTAATCAAATAACTTGCATGATTAACAGCCTCTGCCCAAAAACTATCAGGCAATCCTGCATCAAATCTCATGCTCCTCTCTCTCTCCATGAGAGTTTGGTTCATCCTCTCAGCAGCTCCATTTTGTTGCGGATTCTTTTTTACTGTGAAGTGCCTTATGATGCCTTCCTGCTTGCAGTAATCGGTAAACTCATTACTTGTATATTCACCTCCATTGTCACTTCTCAAGTACTTGATTTTTCTTCCAGTTTGATTCTCGGTTTCTGTTTTCCATTCCTTGAACTTTGCAAAAACCTCGGATTTCTGCTTCATGAAATAAACCCAAACCTTCCTAGAAAAATCATCCATGAAAGTAACAAAATACCTGGCTCCACCATTTGATTTGGTTGGTGCAGGGCCCCAAACATCTGAGTGAATATAGCTGAGTTGCTCCTTGCTTCGGTTATCTGCACTGCTACTCGCGAATGATACCTTCCTTTGCTTTCCAAGAACACAATATTCACAAAAGTCCAGTTTGCAAGATGACACGCCTTCCAACAGGCCTTGCTTGTGTAATTCTTGCAACCCTTTCTGGCTTATGTGCCCGAGCCTATGATGCCAGAGTTCAGTCTTGTCTTCTATACCTTGATTTACAGAAACCGCTGCTCCCCCGACTATAGTGGTCCCAGTTAACTTATATAGCTTATTGGGTTATAGGTCACCCCGCATTACCACCAGTGATCCTTTGGCTACCCTGAGTCTTCCCTTTTTAGACTCGTACCCATAGCCGGCCTCATCTAAAGTACCCAAGGAAATCAAATTCTTTCTTAGTCTAGGGACATACCTAACGTTCCCCAAAGCTCGTATCATCCCATCAAACATTCTGATTCGAACAGTGCCGATTCCTTTTACAGGACATGCAGAATCATCCCCCATTAAAACTTCCCCACTGCTGACTTCTTTGTAAGTATCGAACCATTCTCTTACAGCACACATATGAAAAGTGCATCCGGTATCCAAAATCTAATTTGTGAAAGCCTTGGAGCCTGATGTTACTGAAAGAAGCTCTCCGTCACTCTCATGCTCGGTGACTTCACTAGCTGAACCTGAGCTTCCTTCCATCTTGGCTTTCTTCTCTTTCCAAATCTTGCAGTTCCTCTTCCAATGATCGGCTGAACCACATACGAAGCAACCTTCTTTTCCTTTTTCTTCTTGGATTTTGACCTACCTCTGTTGCTTGTTTTCTCTTCCTTGATCTTTTCCCGCCCCCTCTCTGTGCCTTTGGCATAAAGGCCTTGAGAACTTTAAGTTATATCATCTAGTTTAGCATATGACTGAAGAGCTTGAATTACGTCTTCAAGCTTGAGGGACTTCTTTCCAAACATTAGAGTTGTTCGAAAGTGCTTGAAAGACGAAGGTAGAGACCTCAGCAAGATGATAGCAATATCATCATCTTTGTAAGTTTCTTCGACCTTTTGAAGATTAGTTATGCAATTCTGGAACCTGCATACATGATCTTCAATATAACCTCCTTCCAGTCGAAGTCCGAATAGTTCATCCTTTAGAAAAAGTTTATTGGACACAGTTTTGCCCATATAAACATTCTCCAACTTTGTCCATGCTTCATGGGCAGTCATCTTTTCAGTGATGTGTGACCGAACTGATCTTGTGAGATGGATCTCGATGGAACTCTTGGCCTTCTTGAGAACCTTAGTCCATGCTGCGTCTGTCATGCTTGTCGGCTTCTCACCGTTGAGTGCATCATCCAAATCTTGCTGTATCAGTACGTTCTTCATCATCCTTTGCCAATCCGTGAAGTCATCCTTGCCGTCAAAAGGTTTTAACACGGGTCCTAGATTCGCATTCATCTTCCCTTTAGACATCATAGAACCCCTTGAACCAGGCTCTTGATACCAATTGTTAAATAACTTGCTGCTGGATCTTGTTCTTTAATGTAACCAATGGCAATAGACTAAACTAGCAAATATTAGAAAACTTAGGCACACAAGAATTATACTGGTTCGGCAGAACTTTTGCCTACGTCCAGTTGTGATTTCTTTAGGTAGAGAAATCACCGCTCCTTTGATTAATAATAGAGATTACAGAACTTTTGCAAACTTTAGAACTAATCTCAAAACTCTTGGCTGTCTCTGGCTGTTTTCTCTCTCTCAAAATAAGCCTTGCCACATCCTATTTATAGATATAGAGTTGGCTTACATGTCCTAAGGCTGATTGAATTCCTATTCCTAAGTGGATTAGGAAATTACACTTATCCAAAACCAAATAGACTTCTAGAAATCCAAACCTGAATTGAATAAGGAAAACTGAAATTCTTTCATAATCCCTCTAGGACAAGAATACCTCTAATTTTCCTAAAACAATCCTAAACTAACTAGGACATATTTGACGAGCCAAAATCCTAACAACTTTTGTGCAAACAGAATTGGAAAGTCTACTGACATACTAAAAGAATCGAGAAGCTTCTGAGAGATGTTTTACTGGAGGGCCGAGAAGGGAAAAAGAGTACATGGTAGACTGGGTATAGGTTTAAGGGCTTAGAGTTTAGGGAAAAAGAGTATATGGTCTAGATGCCAGTGGGTGGGAGTTAATTGTTGTCTTAACAGGAACCTGTCGAAGCCTTGGAAGTATACGTAACAGGCTCAAAACTCAGTTTTGTGGTGAGAAATGGGGAGTGGATCAGATTCTAGCAAGATAAATGAGTGGGGAATTTTCCTTTCTGTTTATCATTCCCCCGTCTTGATGTGATAGAGCTAGCTTTTGATAGTTTGGCCTAGATTGTGGCTATCCATGTGCTAGCTGTTTTTGTGGTATTGTGGAGTGCTAGCTGTTTTTTGTGTAGTTTGGGTAGGAGAGAAATAGATCTTTTTTGATGTACAGTGCGGATGATGAAGAGAGCTCTTCGGAAAAGGTGAGGTTCTCCCGTCTTTAGGGACGTCTCATTTTTTTGGGGGACCATGTGTTTTTGAGTTTCTTAAATAAAATTTTGTTTATCATAAAAAATAAATAAAACAACAAAAGAAAAAGATTGAGCAGGCACAGCCATCCTGCAAGAGAGACTCCGCTGTTGAACTTCGTTATGCATGTACAGTGTTCATATATATAAGATAATATTCTCTTACGTTTCCATAAGATGCTTATGTTTTCAAACAATGAGGTTGCCTCACACACTTTTTGAAATAATGAACCTAATCAATGGTCCAGATTCACAATATAGCAACACAAGCCTCTTCTGTTGCCAAAATATCTCACAAGAGAATAAATCTGAATATAATATATGCAAGCCTTTTGACAATTTGAACATGATTGAGTTTTTTATGTAATCTAACTTAAATACCATAAGGAAATGCTCTCAAATACCACTATTACTGTAGCAAATTTTTTTATGTAATCGACAGAATATTGATACTTTATCGATTTTATATTAAGACTATTTGGGACTGTTTTCTATCAAAATTATGGGACAATATCGACAACACTTGGAGATGAACGATATAATGGGACTATTTGCTACAGTAATATGCTATTTGAGAACTTAGCTACAGTCATAGTGATATTTGAGAGCATTCCCTATACTGTAAGGAGCAAAATGTACTCTTCCACGGTATTTCTGGTATGACCAGACAACTGAGTGTAAAGCAGCATGCAAAGTGTCTAATGGTTATATTCGACTTCAAGCAACAAGTACTCTTCCCTTATTTAATTTGAAGAAACATTATATAGATATGACATGCAAGGTAAAAAATAAGAAAAATTACCGTGTATTCAAGCATATTTTTGTATGGTCGTTCAACCTCACGGAGTACAAACGGTTTTCCATTGATGTAAATCACAGGTTCTTCTCTCATATTATGCCAAAACACTGGTCGACCATCTTTGGAGCTACCAATCTTTTGGATGACAGATCGTATACCATCAATTGTTGGATTTGCGACTCCATAAACTGGAAATCCAGGGACCTCCCGAAAATTAGGGGCACCATCCACTCTTTCTGGTAAATTTTGGTTTTGACAACCAGGACAGTGGTCACTTTTCAAAACTGTTTGGCTACCAAGAACCTCGCCCTTTCTCAAGGCCGCAACTACACCCATCTCATAAGGCCGGCCATCAGCAGATTCAGCAATCTTCTTCAAAGATGGTTTCAAACTTGCATATCCAAGTGCACCCATTGGATCTCTTCTCAGCAGCCTACAACAAAGGAACAATTTAAGCAAATGAACATAGCCAGATGGAATCAAGATAACTTAGCTATGTTCTATTTCTTTCATGAATTGGACAAAAAATCACGAAGAGAGATTCATAGTTATATATTCATGTCATTATGCCAAGAGCTAAAAAATTACTAACCAAGTATGCACTTAAACAATGCAGCCTGTCAGCTCATTATATGAATTTGGACTCATCCCAACTTGTGGTGCATGTATACTTCCTTGGGTCAGAATCATACATGTATACTCCTCTCACCTTATGTATCAGTGCCACAGAATTGAACTTTTTCGGGTCAGACAAGGCCTCAAGGTTTGGGCCAATCTAAAGAAAAAGTTAAAGAGGCAGGACCCTTTCCGTGATTTTAAAAAGTTGAACCTTCTAACAATTAAGGACAATTAGTCCAAAGAGAGCACTATGCTACTGATCATATTGCAAGGCAACAAAGCCTCAATTGACTAACATGGTGAACAAGGCTTCTAAATCTTTTTCTTTCCTGCCTTTCTGTTTTGGATGCAAGAACATAAAGCTTACTCTGCCATTGACCCAACAGAAAAGTAAATTCCAAATCTTATGGCTCTCTTTTATCCAACAAGAATGAATATCTCCAATTTCTTTAAACTCTATGTGCGTCTTTGCTTTCTAACAAGAGTCCGGGGAAGAAGAAAAGAAATAAAAAGCCAAAAGTTGCAGAAGAATATTACATCCTTTTGGGGTTCTATTGAAGGAACAGGACTCTAATGAGGCAAAAGAGGTAAGACCTTTCCATAGGCATTTTTCTGTCCTTAATCAGCCATTCTTTTTTTATGGAAGCGTGGAGTGCTGCAGGAAAGAGATGGGTTACATTAAAATGGTTGGGTTCCAAGATAGTGCTCAAAGGCTCAAGTCAACGTCCATGGAAAGACATTTCCCAAGGCATTATTAACTCCTTTTATTTTCACTATTGTTTTGTGGTGAGAAACAAGGAAACAGTAAAAATAATTGGAATAGAGCTCCACTGGGTAAACACCTTTGTGTTCTGCTTTTCCTTGTCTATATATAGACTGTCAAATATCATAATCTTCCCATAGCTAGATTCTGTGTAAAGTCATTTCTTCTTTTCGGCAGGACTTTGGTTTCTACAGAAATTAAACGATTCCCAAGTTGGGAAGTTGTCTTAATTATTTTCTTGTTAGAAAAAATTTCTTTTATAATAAGAAAACTTGGAAGTTAGAGCCTTCATGGTATTTTCTTGTAATCTTAAGCAAAGACATCTTTTTGAGTTGTACTTGTATTTACTTGTTCCTTCACAGATTGTGGATTCTGTATCCGCTCTATGGTCAACAATCGGAACGAAAAACAATTTGATTACTACAATGCCATTTTACAAAAGAAAATATATTTTCCATAGAAGAGTAAAAAATCCTCCAAATTTAAAACAAAATGATATGTTAGATGGCTATTTGGTAAAAAGAAAACTCAAACTATTTAATGAATTAATAGTACCCAAAAAAAAAACTATTGAAACAAAATTATTTTAGAAACTGATAAACTGATATTTGTAAACATGTTTTAAAAATATTTGATAAGGTGTACACTGAAAGGGCTCTCAAAGTTTTTTTATTTTTGGGTGAACTCAAAATTAAAATTACAAATCCAACCAAAAGAAAAAGGAAAAACAACCCATCCACCCAACCCCTCTCTTCCCTGACCATCGACAGAACGCAGCCACTCCAACCAAAGCCCCTCCATAGATACTTAATGACTCCTGATTTGGTTATTGTTAATAAGGAATCTTGAATAAAAACTTTTAAAAATACTGTTTGGATTAATGAACTAAAGTCCGAAGTGGGCCCCAAAAAGTATCTCCATTTTTGCCAAAAAATGGGGGGGTCCATCCCTGGACGGGCCCTGTATATAAATTCGTTAGCATCCTATGAGTATCAATCAATCGCTATTTGACACTGTCAAATGCCATATTGTTAATCTTTGAAATATTATGCCCGTTATAAGAACTACCCAAGTCAAATGTTTAAAATCTATCACATACAAAGTAACAGTTTCGGTGTCACCACAGCCCTGTCTCTAAGTGTCATCTCATTTGTACCTTGGAAAACGAGAATTAAAGGGAAACAAGAAGATGAAATTTGGAAGCTCTTTACGAAGAAAAAAAAAAGGAATACAAAAAACTCAAATGCTAAACCTTTCATTTTTACCTGCGAATAATGCTATACAGTTCTGGCCTAGCTTTCATCCAGTCAGCAAAACTGCTATAACCAACGGAACTAGAGCGGAGGGCTGCTCTCTCTGAATGAATGTACACGGCAAAGCATATAAGAAAGTAGTATCGTTCCAAATACTCCACAAAAAATGAAAGTGACGCCTCCCTTTTCATCTCATCTGGTTGGCGCAGAATACTATTGCGATAAGTGGCAATTGCTTCACGTAAGTTCTGTACTTGGATTCAATAGAAACATTTTTACTGAGATCAAAATTCTATGATAAAACATGAAAAATTTACCTTAGATTATACAGAGCAATAAAATCATACATTAAAAAACGGAAAACAAACAAATCCAAAGTTTGACATGCCATACCATAAAGTTAAAGCAATGAGTAAAAACTATACCTGCATAGAGGCGCACTTGTCAATAACTTTATCCACTTGTCTTTTGCCTTCAACACCACCCTAAAGACATCTTGTTGATTAACAAAATACTCGAGAATACATTAACTGTTCTACTATAACAATAACCAACAAAAGAAGAAATCAAATACCTCTAATACTCGAATCAAGCTTCTTATGACTGCATATTCTCCTCTACGAATCGCATCTTCTGAGTTTGGAAAATTGTCAGTGACAATTGCACTGGAGTCAGAAACTTTCCCAATTGAATTGGTTCTTGGAATACCTATTTCATTTGAAGATAATATAAAATTAAGAAATCCTTTAAAAACAGAACCAACCGCACATGTAAACCAATAAAGGACTTGATCTAAATTAAATAAAAACAATGATTCTAAACATTCCAGGGACTCTTACAAAAATCCATCATAAAATGCAGAAAATAGTTTATTTTTTAAATGGAGGACTCTGCTAACTTTCGGTATTATCTCAGGATTGAAGATTTTTATTTTTATTGAAATGAGAAACTTTTATTGCACAAAACAAAGCAAAAATACAGGAACAGAACAGGGGTGGCCAAGGTGGCCACACAAGCCCCAAAACAAAGAACACCACCTAAACAGCCTATCACATTACAAAACTACCGCTTTCCCATCCAAATAAATGAAAACTGAAGTTAATATCCTTAAATACTGAAGAAGTTGATGCCCACAATGATGCCCAAAAACGAACCTGGTCCCAAAGCTGGTCGATCTCGTCACCCTTATCATCATAAAAAATTCTCTTATTCCTCTCCATCCACACCACCCAAAACACAGCCATCATAGCACAACTACCCAGCACCATCCTCAGGATTGAAGATTAATAGAGGCAAGTGTTCAATGACGGGGATAAATGCACGGAAAGATATGAAGTATTTGGGTTCATTGCTCAGAACCAATAAAAAAGCAATTAGCCTTTGGTATCTTGTTGTGGTACAGGTAGAGAAGAGGCTAGAATCCAATCGGTTTTAAGCAGTGTACCCATATACTTTCGCTTTTCAAGATTCCCAGTAATGAGACGAAGAGATTATTAGATAATGTTTTGTGGGAGGTGGTGGAAGAGGCAAAGTGGTGTTACCAATACACTCTTTTTTTTTTTTTTTAAAGAAACATAATTTTATTAAAGTAAGAATTCTAATTACAAAGAGTGGATAAGGAATCCACAATCTAGGATAGAACAAGTAAAAACAAGAAATTACAAGGATGTAAAATAGAACATGCTCACTGAGCAAAAATTTTAATCACACTTTACAGCTGCTAACAAATCCAACATAATAGAAGAATGAGCATAATCCTTAAAATCAGCCGAAACCAATGCCCATAAAGCTGCCCAGAACCTCACTCTATCCCAAAAATCATTTACCCACACGACCTTGTAATCCTCAAAGATTATTCTATTGCGCTCCAACCAAATGTTCCAGAAAACTGCCAACAACAAACAACCCCCATAATGTTTTGGCTTTCTTCTCCCTTCCCAAAGCCACAAACTTTGTACTCAGAAGCTCAAAGCATCCTTTTAGAATAACCCAGCTAGCTTTAATCTCCCTAAACAGTTTTCCACCACAATTGTAAAGAATAAGGGCGGTGTAGAAAGACATGATCCACACTTTCCTCATCAGATTTACATACATAAGGCACACCATTGAGCAGATAAACAAATAAAAGGCCTTCTCTTTTGAACTTGATCGCAAGTGTTAACCTTCCCAAAAGCCACCTGCCATGCTAGAATTTCTACCTTTAGAGGTGCTTTTGAATTCCAAATCTGAGAATAGGGTGTGAATTCCTGCAAGTTTCCTCTGTTGGAAAGGAATGTACTTCTTCAACCAATGACTTAAGTTGCGCACAGCTCACTACTAAACTCATATTTATCCCGCCTTGGAATTATACTTTCCTTATCCCCTATGGATGTTGCATCTGAGCCCTACATTTAAAACGAAACTGGTGAGCCTGAAAAGCACTCTGAAACAGCACCTAGAGCCTTTCTCCCTGTGTCTACATCACGCTATAGCTAATCAAGTTTGTCCCCTTCAATTTAGTTTCAAATTATTTTGATGTCCATTTAAATAACTGAGTCATCATGGTCCAGGTTGTAGAACTGGCAACGCCTCTAGTTTCCTTAGCATAGATGTACACGAATGGAGAGGCTTACACCAGAACTAACCTTTGCTCTGGTGTTTTATTATTGTCTTCCAATATCAGGAAAAATTATAACTTGAAAGGGGAGGGGTGGAGAGTAGAAGAAGGAGAATATGAGGAAATCGTACATTAGAATAGCACAAATAAAGTCCTTCTAAAAGACATAGAGATTGACCAAGTTTACAAGTTATAGAACAACAAAACTCCTTAGGATGACCAAAAATGAGTCAATTTAGTAGAAGAACTATTTGAGTGAACAGAGTAAGAGGATTACCGGAAGCTCCTATACGGTTGAGGTATATCAAAGTTGCTATCACCATTCCTGTTGTAGTTCGCCCACGTCCCATTTGGCAGTTAAAAGTTATTTCTGCATTTATATCAGCTTGAGAAATTTTATGAACCTGAATACAAAGAATAAAGAGTAAATAAAGCACACACATCAGCAAATGTAATTCAGGAAGGTGATAATATTCCATGACCACAATACCACAAAAACACTTCAACTCTAGGAGTGCAGCTCAATTCATGGGTATGCCAAGAACTAACCCACTCCGACCAATTTAGGTTGTTTGTTCAGTTTCTTTGGCCGTTGGGTTGGTCTTGGCTCCCATCTTCTTGGACCCAATTGTATCAGGTCTGGTTCCCAGGTTTTACCTGACCTGATCAGAATTGTGCTACATATGCTGTTCGACAAAGAAATATTGAAACTAACCAAAATATCAAAATCCAGCTCCTTGGGTGATTTTTCATCAGTTATAGGGACACGTTCATAGTCAACAAGGTATCCTTGTACTTGCAATTCCTCGTAAACCTACAAAGTAAGAACCAAAAAGTTATATTGAGAAAACTGGTGGATTACACTTGTTTTCTCATTCCCTATGATAATTGTTCCAATGAGGATACCTCTAGCGGTGTCGTCACAGAATCCCGTGACACTGGTTCCCATTGATCCACCATCTGACCATCTGGTAGTTCGTCAGTGACAAGGATCTTATTCCCATATCTGCTATTTCAGATGTGCAGATAATGTTTAATGTCACAGAAAGCAGGAGTGAGAAAATGTTAAAGATTATGGCGCACAATTTGTAACATAACAAGGGTGAATACAGGGTACCCGAAGGAGATACCTTGCAGCTTCAATTAAAATATCTTCTTTTAATCGGGCTTCCATTTGTTCAAGCCTAGCCCTGTTAATTCCCTGATTGTTTATAAAGACACAATCAATATAAAAGCAAACAGAAAACATAACTTATTAGTAACATGCTGATACGTGTGTAAAGCTACATGAGCATTGCAATACAAATAGCATTGTGCATCTACCATAACTAGCCAACCTCTATCTTACCCCCAACCCCCAAACAATACAACAACAACAAAACTTTAATATTCTCCCAATCAAATCAAATATTAGTATCATAAGAAGATCGCTAAACTACACCATCCTCGAAATTCAAATTAATGTATAGCGAACTAAACTCTTTATAGTATATTAGCTAATCCAAGAAAATGCAGTTATTCATTCTGTACTTTTTAAGTAATTAAGCAAGAATTTAATAATAATATAAAAGATATGCCAAATTTCATAGTAAAGTTACATTAGCAAAGCATACCGTATACTCAAGGTTGGAAAAGGGCCTCTCCACGTCACGCAAAACAAAAGGGCGCCCATTAATATAGACCACCTGTTTGAAGATAAAGAGTAACTTCAGAAAATGCAAATTCTTAAGGATAAAAATATTGGCCACCATATCTCAAGTAAAATTTCAAAATCAGAAGAAGAGATTATGCAAGTCTAAGAGTACATTTATACACCGAACTAAGAAGTGAGACTAGAATATTAGATTAGTCCTATGTTTGGCAACAGCTTGAACTAGATGGCTAATCTAATCCCTAAAGAAAACAAAAACAAAAAAACAAACAGACAGACATACACTCACATACAAGAAAAAAGGCTTAAGTGGGGTTATTTTGACCAAGAGACCAACCGTCTTCAGCAAGACTTCAACTCATTCATACTGGAGTTTCTCTCTACAATTCAACCCTTTCAAGCCCTAGCTTTCTCTAACTCTCAGTGATGCTCTTTGGTGAGGTTAAATAGGACGCTTCTCTCTCTTCTTCCATCCTCTATACATTTCTTTCTAGTCTGAAAATTTTGTACTACTTTTTTATTTTTTCTTACTATTTCTTTAAGCTGGATATGCATGTTTGGTTTATTTCTTGTATGAAAGCTTGCTAAGGATGTTTGGATGATTTTGGTTGCTTTTGGTTGGGAATTGGCTTACATTTTTTTTGGGTATTTTGCCAGTATTCTGTTGGGTTTTCTGTTCTACTGGGAGCCTGGATTCATGAGGTCCAAGAGTCTATGCAGCTTAATTAAATATTTTTCTAAAAGGTTGAATTTACAGGTCTTTTTAATAGGAATAGGACCATTCATTGACAATAATAAATAGTACAAAGTTAGTGAAGACGCATCAAGACACATTATTGCAGGAACACATAACAGCTGCCTTCCAATCTGATACAATAACAGAGGAAGATAGCTTCCTAAATGCTTAAGATACAGATGCCACAAAGAAGACCGGAAGTGCACCATAACACATAAACACTCCCCCTCCTCGCCAAGAGCATCTCAAAAACTCTCCTATTCTTTTCAATCCTTAAAACCCAGAAAATTGTCAGCACAACGCATCTCCCAGGAACTACACCCCTTTCCTTTCCACCAAAAAAATTAAGTTTCTCAATTAATAAAGCCCTGCACAACTTCGGAATAGACCAACATAAGCCTGTCCCCTTAATTAACTTGACTTCGACTGAGTTAAAAGTTTCGTGGTATTGCCTACATTAGGCAGGCATAACAATTATGACTTAGGTTCGTGGTCATGATTGTGTGTCGTTTTCTTTATGTCAGGAGCTATGTTGCACCTGCAGTTATAATCATATTTCTTTTGAAACGAAAAGTACATAAAAGAAAAGAACATTTATCCAACAATATACTTTTCTCCAACAATATCCATCTAGCTTAAGAAACCAAAACTAATCACGACACTGTAGCTTTCCAATCTTCAAAATAGGAGATACAGAAGAAAAAAAGCTGACTCGAACTTCACCTTCTCCCACACCACCTCCACTTCCATCGCCCTAACATCTTCAAAGATCTTCTGATTCCCTGCTGACTAAACACCCAAATAAGGGCTATTTGTTATCCAAACTATCAAATTCTGATGTCGCATTCAGAGTTATTACCCATTACTATCTATGTTGTAAACGCTAAGCATTGAATATCCATTATCTAGATTGAAGCTCATGTAAATTATTTCTTTAGTTGTATAATTTAAAGATTTAAGATGTTTTGCCTAGTGTTGATGTCAAACCCGTAACAGGTACTATAAGTCAATTGGTATGTTGTTCTGCTGCTGATTAAAGAGGAGACAAGCAATATGTGCAATTGGTCATCGGTTTAACTGTGGATTCCCACACTGTAGGAGGAGCAGAGGTAACTGAGTGTCCTCACTCATTCCTTATGTTGATGGAAGTGCAATTTGAGAAATTTTGTATAATGGCCCAAAACTTTTATTTCTTGTATTGATTGATGCTTGTAAAGTATTTACTATTTTGGATATGAACACAAATCTATCTATTGCTTACGGCATATGCATTCTTATCTTGGAGTGGTAATTAATTCATTTGCTTGTAATGAATTGAATTTATTGTGATTTAATTTGTGGGATTTGCACTCTCCCATCTTTCAACCTCCAAAACTGATATTAAAATAATCACAGTTCAGTTTGAAAATGCACCAAACACAAAACAGTACTATATAGGTTATCAACTTTACTAGCCCGACACTGCACCAAGAGTTGTATTGTACTTAGTTTCTACTCGCCAGATGGACCTCTCTAAGTCTTTAACCTCTAATTAACATGATATGTGGAAAAATTAATGGATAATCTATTTACTCTAATGATTTTTTTTAAGACTCTAAGAATATATATAATAAAATTATCTAGTCTCTGTATGCTTACTGCTTAAGTACCAATGCTCCTTTTTTTTACCCTGGAACGGATGGAATGCTTGACTTATCTTAATACTAACCCGTTTCCCCACCCCCCCTACACCACCTGGGCTCACCTTAATGCCAATTGGTTTTAAATCCTTAAAGATACACTTAAAATTACTATGTAGCTCTCACTCCCTATATTGTCAAATTGTCAACAAAAACAAAACGACAACATATTAGAGCTATAATTGTCCAGAATAACTATGAATACTGCAGCATCAAATAAGACTTCATGTGAATAATGCTATACAGTTCTGGCCTAGCTTTAACCCTGTCAGCTGAACTATGTCAAAAGGGTTGGCCTCTGTGAGCGACCACAGCCCCTCAGACCCCTTTCCTTATAAATCTAATGCCTTTAACCCCATTCCATACATACTTCAAAATCTATAACGAACATCCTTTTTTAGCCCCAAAAAAAAATTCAACAAAATCCCTGATTCAAGTCCTAAAAATTTCTCCATACCAAATCATCCTCCAAACAACCTAAATACTTAAATTAGCCATTGCTCAGAATTCCTGCAAAAGTCCAAATCAAACCATTAACCCCAAGCTTTGTACCATCCTTTACACGTCATCTCCACATTCTTTCTTCAAGGATTGCCCACCTCATAAGAATCGCTGCAGAGGAATGCACAGTCTACCAAAACTATCTTACGTATCATCAGTCAATTTGTACTTGATTGTTTGGCACAATTTGTACTTGACACTCCATCCATGGCAGGAAAAGCAACAAATCACACAGAACACACCAATTGGCATATTGGGCAACATTGATTACTAAAATAGGCAGGATTCAGTGAGAGGATGCAAGTTAAGTGCTATTACTTGATTGTTAGTGATGCAGAATGCGTAGGACCTAAATTGAATAGTTTCCTAATTTATTTGTTAGTTTCCTAGATTCTCTAGTTTTCCAAATTCTAGTAGGATTTCTAAATTTCCTATTTTATTTGGGTTAGGATTTCTGTTTTAGCAAGGGATTTTTATCCTATTATCTCTAGATTTTAGTTTGCTATAAATACCCCATGTAGTTCATTAAAATTCAGATTTGGGTATTGAATAAACCCTCTCTTAAAACTCTCTGATTTCTGTCTTTTCTTCTCAGTTCTCTGAATTCTGTCTTTTCTTTCATCCCTTCCATCTATCTTTTCTTCTCATCGATCCCCTATATTCTTCTTGGTTCTACTGTTTCGAGTGTTTAATCGTACCCCTAGGGGCTGTGCTACATCAGTTAGGCACCATTTTATTTTATTTTTTGAAACCCAGAACTCCACTTTGTCAGCTTTGCTGATGCAGCTTCCAAACTGGGGCCCACCGCCAAACCCTACAATCTTTGGGGGCACATAACACAAGCAAATTGCTTGATAGGTACCTTGATGAGTGTCGAACCCCTGACCACATCGGGGGGCCCAACTAGTCCCAACACCACTGGACTCACAACTCATTGGTGATTGTTAGGCACGATATCATCATAAAACTAGCAGTTGAACTAATTAGCTTTTTGATTGTCAATAGCTCTGCATGTAATTTATAGCTTAGGTTTCTTGTTTATACAATAATTTTCAATTATTAATTCCCAAAATTGCATCTAGTTCCAAACTTGGGCTACAGCAGTGTTTGAGATTCCTGAAATTGCAGGCCCCTTCCCTTATAAATGAGTAAAAATGCTGTTTTTGATACAAGAATAATTTAACGTTTCTATTATTGACAATCAGAAAGACCATAGACATTTTACAGCTTATATATGATGCTAGTTGATAGCACCAATGTATGGTGCAAATTTCCAGTACAGGAAGGAAAGAAATCAAATAGGGACAGGTAGAAAGAGCCTGATAACATATTAACTTACCGGCTCCTCGCGAAGGTTAATCCAAAGAACTTGTGTTCGCCTCCCATCAATTTGTTGAGCTCCAATATGGTTTAGAACATTCTGGATTCCATCGACTGTTGGAATGGCAACACCGTGAACATGTAGCGAATCAGCCTATTAAAAACATCAAACAATGAAAGATAATGAGCTGGGAAATGACGTGAGAGAGTGATTTACAGAATTTTCCATGTAAAACTCAAGTTGCATTAACACATATGCATTTAAGATGCAGCAATGAAAATATGTGAACCTGATTAAGGATGGATTTAAATACCAGAGAACATCAAGATTGATAACAAAGTCTGACGATTATATATATGTCAAGTGAAGTTGTAAATTGGTTCACTAAAAGTAACCATAGAGTGGTAAATCCCCTTTTCACTGGTCAATCTAACAAAACTGTGTTCTCTAAATGTAATGAAATAAAATCACTAGCAAAAGATAGACATGCACAGAAAAACAAGCAACACTTAATAGGTTATTGCTATATTGGTTAACTTTGCACGGGATAGTGTTACTGATAAATGACGTGTAAATAGAAGCAGGCATGGCAAGTGGCAAGAGAAAAGGGGCAAGACAAAAAGTAGGAAAAGAATGCATATGATGGAGCAATGTCAGAAAGAAAGAGCCACAGTACTACCTGACGGTAATTGGGAGCGCCATCGATCTGGGGAGACAAGCGTTTGTTCTGGCAGCCTGGGAAGTGGTCGCTCTTGAGAATGGTCTTCTTGCCCAGTACTGATCCTCCTCTTAGCTTCATCACCTGCTCCGGCTCCTTGGGTATCGACATGGCTCATTTATATTTATTTGCTCTAGTTGTTGTTTTATAAATATATATATATATAAATATATAGATAATTCCGCGCTACTCAAGTCTCAAAACACGCAAGCAACCGATTTCTTCTATAAAAAAATCTCTCACTGTCTCTCATCTACTAGGACTGTACTGTTGATTGATTAAAAACTATAGTAATCTAGTTAGTCGTCGGTGAAAAATTGCCCTCGTCACACCACACCACTGGACCACACCCACCAAGCAAAGGCAAGCAAGGGAGATGATAACGGTGTGATTGGATGTGAGTCTATCTATAATTTGGAAAGAAATTAGAAAAAAAAAAAAGAAAAAAAAAAGGAAGAAAACCCAAAAACCAAAGAAATCTGATACTAGGGTAGGTGGATTCTTAATTACCTCTAATTCTCAATCTCATCCATTCCACTGCCAATTAATATTTATCTATCTTTCTCTCCTCACTAAAACGCAAAAGCCCTTTTTGCCTTTGTGCCTTTGTGCCTTTGTGCCTTTGTGCCTTTGTGCGAGGGTTCAGGGATGACGATGTTCTTAACTTCTAAATAAGCCTTCTGTTCTGTGCGTCAGTGAAGTGGGGCAAAGATTCGCCGAGGCCCCTTCTCCACCTCAATCCTGAGTCCTGACACAAAACGTGAAAAGCGTGTTTTTTTCTTGTGATAATTGATTAATTTCCTTTCACAACCCAAATAATATATAATATATATTAAATTTCTTTTCCTTTTTTTCTTTAGGGTGGTGATTTTCCCACTTTCCTTTTATCCACCTACACTCCTTTTTGTTTTTTAATATTTTTTACTATAAGATAAAATGGAGTGTAAGTGAACAAAAGAGGAGTGAGAACATACAATTATAAAAACAATGGAGTATAAGTGGATAAAAAGAGAGTGGGAAAAGCAGTACCTTTTCTTTTTACATGTATTTATTTATATTTTTCTTCTCATTTCAATTCCTAAATAGCACCACGTATGGGTATGGCTTACGTTTTAGATTTCAAAAAAGAAAACGGCTCTCTATTCTCCTTTCCTTTTTCATTGTTGGCTTGCACCAAGGGAGGGTTGATCATGTTCATGTACATGTTACATTCCCAAAGGACCGGAATGGTGCCTTCAAAGATGAGGGGATGATGAGATGTGAGGCCCCTCACCCTTGAAGGTTGAAATTAGTTTTTGGTTGTTGTTGGACATGTTTTGACACAAATTCTTTCATTGGTTTATCCACGAAAACTTTGTTAGGATTTCTCATTCCTCTAAATGACGCAGCACAAGCAATAAAGGTTTCAAACGAAAACCTTGAGTAACAAGGGAACTGGATTCCACCAGAAAATTAAGAGAAACTCTCTTTGATTAATTGTATTAAAATCTGAAGTGTACAAAAACGTTAGACAAACCTGCCTAAATACACAACTCTCAACCCTTGTAACTGCTAGGGGAGTTATTACATTAAAACTGAAAAACTGAAAAACAGAATTTATTCCGAAAATTAACTACGAAACTTTGAATGCGGTTTTGGAAGGCCAAACGACCTCAGAATGCCAAAATCCATCATACATCACAGCAAAGCTGTGAGTTT